TATCTGGGCAAGATTATTGTTTGTATTTTTGTTAGTTTGAGTTTTTTCCAAGTTTCATGTTTTCACTCTAGGAGACCAGTGGTTAAAGAAGGTGTCTTGTCTAGCTGTGGTGTTTCCTGACTGTGTCCTGGCTCTTACCCGCTGAGTGCGCCCTGTTCCTGTTTTAACTCGGCGAGGGAGGAGCTAGTTTAAAGCTCTGTAGTTCTCGCCCTTATCTACTAAGTAAGCCTTGTACCTGTTTTGGCTCAGTGCAGGGACCCGGTTTAAAGTTCTGGAGTTTTCCTGGTGTTGTATCGTGTTTCTGCCTCTTAACCACTAAGCCTGCCAGTCTTTATTTAAGCTTGTCTGCCTGAGATCCCTGTTGGACTCATGGAGCCCTCAAACTGTCTGAACGCTCTGTGGATCCCTGAGGTCCTCAAGCAACCTCACATCTCACGTAAACAACGAGTAAATAAATCAATTTTATTTACAAAGGTGTTTGGTTTTGAAGTATTAAACTTAAAGATGCTTTTACCCATAAAATATTATTGAATTAATTGTGCATATTTGCTAACATGTTTTCTCATAATTTCCACATAGATATGATGAATCTGCAACATAGAGGGACTTCAAGGTACTGTACTTCATGCAACATTCTGTTTAAACTAAAGCATATCTAGCAAAACACAGGAATGATCTAACCGCAAAAATACGTATTTGTTCTTTTTTATTCTAAAACATTTCATATTATGACTATATAATGACCCCCAATAGCAATGGAATAAAATTAAATTAAGACTTTTTCCGATTATCATATACTAGTTGTTTAAAGTGTGTGATGGAAATTCCTTCAAAATCTCATAGCCATGAGATGATTTGTCTTCCTGATGTCAGCGACTTAGCAATTAGGAGATCTGTAGAATTAACCAGCAGAATATTCGAGGTGACCATAAAACAAATTTAGACACAACCACTAATACAGGATTGATATTATTAATGGCTCCTGGGCCTGGATGATGTATAACACAATATTACATTAGTGCTCCGTCAACCTTACCTCCCTTTAATATTGCAAAGTACAACATAATGCATCACATCGATATAATGTAAAAGGTAGGTCTGTTTTGGAGAGTAATGTTTATGCATTTACAGTAGACATTTTAAGAGAGGTAAATTACAGCATACTGACATTGTGGGGGTGGTAGTTTGGGAAGAATTTCATAGCCTTCTTCCAACAATCAATAAGCTGCACTCGACCTTTATGTGCATCAATAATAGTATTTCTGCCTTTTCGAGGAGGATGAGAGTTTTAGTTCATCCTTAGACAGGAGTATTCCTTTTCTAAAGAGCAGCTGGCTTATGATTCAAGTGTTCTGGAGCTCACCCAAAAGTAAATATTGAGAGTAGAAAGGCAGCAGAGGATCACTAGAGGGAATTGCTTAGAGATATAAAAGAGAGACATCTAGCAATAGCACAATATGCTCCCATTTTTTTCTATTCCCTTTGTCCAATAGAGAAAAATTGAAAGCTTTAGTAGCCAAAGTGCTTACCCCAGACATCTTATGTGACATTGGGGTGCTGTGTGTATGTGTGTGTATACAAATACTTCTGTGTGTGACTCCTAGTCATGCACCAGTTACAACAGGTAAACAGCATTCCCTCCAACAAAAAAAACACAGTGGGTTCTCCATGTAGTAACATGATAATCCTCAAGCCTGATCTCGTCTGTCTCCTATCTCTTTTTCTGTTAATGTCACACACTCAGAGGTGAAAATGTTGATCCATGGGTCATACACAATCTCACCCTATTTGTTTTCAACCTTGCAGAATTGGGATGTTTACTGTGATGCTCCGGAGGCACTGACCTTTCATGGATGCACAAGAAACACTAGCAACAGCCTCCTTATTTCATGTCAGGATCTGGACTGGGGCAAAATGACAAATGGCCTTATGTATTCATCCGTAAAGATACAGAGCCTTGTAAAAAGTATTCATATCTCTCAAACTTTTTCACGTCTGGTGACCATATATTGTTTTGAAAATAAAATAAAATAGAGCAGAATTACATTTATAACCTCGAGAACAGCATTTATTAGGTTAAAAGAAAAATAAATATTCATAAAAGATATGTTGAAATGTAACTAAATGGAAAAAGACTAATCAGTGTGGGTGTTAATCAAGACCTGTGTGTTACAGCATGGCTGTTCTGTGAAGGCCTCACAACTTAAAGATTGTTTATAAAAAAACTGTAACTGTGGAAACAAGGAAACCATTGAGCTCAGAGTTGTGGTTAAGATCAGAAGGAAAGATGAATTCAAATCCAAGCCTTCATCTAAATTTTAAATGTTATAGATATTATGTAAGGCAAAAAAAAACTTACAGAGTTTTGGGGACACCACCGAGTCTTCCATCCCCACATTTTGTGGAAGTAGTGATTTTGTTTAAACCAAGTGTAAAAATCTTTTTCAGGTGCTCAGAGAGTGGATATTTTTTTGAGTCTACAGTATAATGTACATCTAGTGTCATTTTTGTTTGGCAAATATATACATTTGCATGCAAGCCTAGATTAGTGAGTCATCAGTAGAAAACAAGATACCTGTTGTCTTTTATCTCCCTTTGACATTAGTGAAAAAAAAAATAAAATAGATGGTTTTAGGATGTGCTTCTACTATGAGTCTCTGACAGAGCGTGTAGTCAAGGAACAACACACTGCATCATTAATACAGAACAAAGCACTCATGTCCTCCTCTGCCATAATGACATTTTAGGAAGCATCTCTCTGTGACATATTTCCATTACCCTCAACTCAGTTCCCCATGTTTTTACAAAGACGCAGAACATGGGGCAGCACTACCCATGCACCAAAAATAAATTCCAGATAGAGAACCAGATGGGATACAGAAAATGGAAGAAAGGAAAGTGCACTACCAGCTGGTATTCTGAAAAGTGGTTACATTTATATTAGCGGGAAGAGCAGATCAAAGAGGATGACACCATTACACACATACACATGTGGCCTTTTCTTTTTTACAAGACAACGATGGGTCAGGGGGTAATGACTCTCCTTTCGCATTAGAGGGTTTGGAGCGAACCAAACATCTCAAAGGAATGATCAAAGAGATGTGGCGCTTGCTTTGTATGGTAGGGGAGGTGGACTGTTTTGTGTGGCTGGTGTGTATAAAGGGAAAATGTCAGCCTTAACTTGTTATGGAGTGTTTGACTAAAGAACACACACTTTGCCAAAAATGTCAACCTTTTCTCGAAATTGCTAATGTGACTAAGGAAATAGGGAATACATTTAATTAAAAAGCCTTTTGCCTAATTTAACTCCTTACTGAGTTTTGTGCTGTTTGCTCATTCAAACAAAACATTGTAACCAAATGTTTGTATTGTTCTTTGTTAATAGGGGAAGGACTAAGGGGCAGAGGTCTTTATCCTTTTAAAACATGGATTATTTTAGGTGGAAAATAAAACGGATCAAGGTGCACCTGCAAATACACTTAAAAATAAATATCCACAAAGACTGCACAATTACCCTGAAAATTACAGTTATTTAGAGTTCATATCACTGTAAATAACTGTTAATCAGCATGAGTTAATTTTGCATTTAGTTTCAAACATCTTAACACAATAATCATTATGTTGTGGGGTCGGATGCAAACTGATACTCACAGTGTACAATTACTGTGAGATTAATAATGTTTAAATAGATTTCTCTATTCATTCAGAGTTGAGTGGTTAATTTTCCAGCAGGACTTGGCACCCACATCCCTAGAGGTACAGTTAGCTGGTTAAATGATCATAATACAGTAACTACATAAAAAAAAAGAAAGGTAACACCAGACCCAGCACTGCAGTTGACCCAAAGGCCACTGTCAAATATATATATGTTTGTAGTCATCTGTAATCCAAAATCACTGAAATTAGAAGACATTAAGGCCTCACATATTACCCTCTATGTGTAATGGAGATACATATGTGCAATATGGCTTATCTTAAAATCTATATGGTAAATTGGCTGAAGTTAAACAGTGCTTTTCTGTCTCTATGACCTCTGTATTTTACACTAGAACCACATTCAACCAGCAGCATTTCCAAACACACCCACACACAACTTAGACTGATACAAAGATCCGTAAGTACCATACTTTCCAATTGTTAGACAAGTACTTTTCCCATTGAGCCTACATTCAACAGATTTTACAAATATTTGCAGAAAAAAAAATATTATTATTTGGTACTTAAGTGCAGAATTAATTAATTAGGTTGTTGATGACATAAATTGAAAAAATCACAGTATGTATCTTCTTTGCAAACCCAAATTCATCATGACTAAGATAAAAATATCAATTTATTGAGTAGAAACAAAATAAATAAACAGAAAAAAGTCAGCTGACCTATTAAAAAAAGATGCATACTATAAAAAACACTTTCGGAAAGCTTTTTCAGCTGAACTATAAGCATCAAGTGTGATAATCTACCATGATAAAATGCAGCTTTGCCTTTTTCTGAAAAAGTGCAGTTCTACCATCTCAACACCGGGAGGCGCACTTGTATGAAACTTAATCTCCAATGCTCCTTCATGCAACATTCATGATTATCCACCTTCACCACTTCTTGAGAAACAGATATGATATTGTCGACATCGTCAATGAGACAAAATATAAAATTAGTCTTCATCAGCATTTGCTTGACACATAATGAAAGGCTGACAAATGAACTCTTTAAAATGATTGATTTTATAAAGGTGGACACTCTTGAAATGATTCACATATAAAGGGGCAGAAACGAAAGTAAAATTTCCGTTTTTAACAAGGACTTTTAAATGAAGACAAGAACAACAAAATCAAGTAATCACCTCTTTATGTAGTCTTTAAGTCCTAAACTGAGATCAGTGTAACACAAGTCCCTCTAAAACAAGGGCTTTCCCAGTGCCTTATGGGAGGGTATTTCCCTCAGAGGGTTATTAAAGTCCATGGGTACTAGTGTCTTGAAACTAAATGTTTTGGTGGGCTACTTACCATGTTGACTTCGGATACCATATCTATGCTGGCTATGTCTATATTCATTCCCACTCCAACTGGAGGACCTGGTGATCAAAAACGCAAAAAACATCAAGACACACTGTAGGTTAGATGTCACTTTAAGGGAATCAAACAATTTATTTGTTTGATGAATTTGCATAGGCTGAAACAATTTTTTAAAAATGCGTGTAAATTTAAAACAAATTTAAAAAAGCTATAACACTTCAGGGTTATAGGATGTGCTGACCTGCAGTCTCCTGAACATTAAAGCCTTCTCTAAAATTTTTTTTTCAATTAATCAATATTAAAAAGAAACAAGAGCACTTAAATTCGTAGTACTTTAATCATTTATATCATTATAATGATCGTACCTGGGCTACATAACTTATTTATTAGATGATTACACCAGGATGTTTCTTTTTTATTAGACTGTAGGTTGTCATACAAATAAAATAGCTATCTTTCAAACGCAAAAAATAATGGATTACCGATACTTATTGTAAATCAAAGTTGTTACCACCTGACACTGCTGAAACTGTGACACAATGTTTATTTTAGGAGGAAATTTACCTCCAAAATCTGGTCTCAGTCGTATATCATAACCCTTTAACAGTCTGTCCACAGTTTCTTTGACCAAAGGCATATTGCTAGGGTCGTTGACACTGCCACTATGCAGGAAGAAGAGAAAGAAAGCAGAGGTTCAGAGACGGCGAACTGCTGTTCGATAGACGTTAAATGTTTTGCATCCCGCTTGAGAGACAGTCACACTTAATAAAATGAGTGGAGCATCCTCCGACTCCCTTTCACTTACCTTTGAGCGCGCATCAAAGCTGCCATAAAAAAGATCAACAAGAAACACGTCGTGCTCGTCCCTCTTACCACAAAGGCTTCCATTCTTCAATTATGCTATTTTCTTATTTTTTTGAAGACTTGACGAGGTCTAAGTTGTTCTCGCCAGTGCAGTAATTCCAATTCCGGGCGCATGCGCATTAGCGATCACAACATCAAGAGGCAGCAGTGGTGCTGCTGTTGATGCCAGCGGTAGATCCAGATAAGGATTAATTAAAAGAAGAATCCTGTGTCCGTGTTACCCAGAAAGAAAAAGGGGTCTCCCCATACGTGCTAAGTGTGGGTTAAAGTTTTCAAGAAAAAAGGAGAGGGGACGCCGAAGGAAAGTTTAGGAGAATAGTAAGGTATTGTGGGTGGGGGGGTCTTTCCATTCGCTGTTTCCAGATCCGCCTTCTAACCAACTCGTAGCTGTCCAACAGAGACGCTCAGGGTTTTGGGGCATTTTAACCAAACTTTAAAGAACCAGTAGATAAAAAAAGAAAAAAAATAGCTTAATATAAAAGAGCTTATACTTTTCTATCTCTCTATTTATTTCTTAAACCACACTTATATTTCTACATAAAAAATAATTAAATGACTAAAACAAAAATACAGCAGGTTCAATTCAGGTTCTCTGTCCATGGTCCTGAATGCAGTCTTTAACTTCCTATGCTCTGTGCCTCTTTCCTTGAAAAGGAGATTAATTTCTATAGAAAAGTGTACCATATTATACTGGAATGCATAGTGCATTCAGCACCTTGGCTTGAAGTAATATACTTATTATTATTCTAATTTTTATGGATATATTATCATCCAAGGTCTTTATTACAAGTTATCAAATTATGAACTCAAATAGCAACCCATAAAGTGTGGGGTTTTGGGTTATATAAATCCATAGTTAGAGGCTTTATCTTGTCTACCTTTACCTCAAAACCAGCTCTCATGTAGTAAAAATCAATGAATGTGATCAATTCATACACACAGCAAGTATAAACAGATTTACTAAAGAGTATTCATTAGACAGACACTAGAGAACATTATTTTAGAAACACCAATCAATACAGTAAACTAACTTAAAAGGTTCATTATATATTCATTACATATGGAAGACCTTTAAACAAAATGAAAACTTTACATATATAAGGAAAAGAAAAAAGGAAAAAACAAAAAACTTGTCTTAGTGAGGGGTTAAGCAGGAGGATTCATCCACATCTCAGGCTATATCACTGCATGAAAAGTGGGATTTTCGTCAATATGCGGCACTGTAGATTGTCGTGGAACTTCAGGTTAGCGGCAGTTTACGACAATTTGCAGGCTTCGCCGAAAACTCCCGTAAATTGTCAGAAATTGACGTGGACTTTCTTAGGCAGTGTTCCCCCTATGCTTCCCCCCCATGGAATTCTAGGGGAGGCTTTAACATGTAAATGAACATGCTGTGAGCTATACAAATGCAAATCAGGGTTGCAGGGGGGGGTTTACTCCAAGTGACATTTTTCTAAAAGGTAAGAAAATCTCTGATACAAAGAGATCAGGCTCAGTATAGCCTCTTACATTTTAGCTTGAATTTATTTATTTAATTAAAGTATAGAGACCAAAACAGATCTTTAGCTGACAGAGCAATACATTTAGAGCAGTAATTATTTAAAAAAAAGATTGCATTTAAGATAAAAAAATAAAATGTTGTCTGTCAATATGCTCAATTCACAATTACTTAGGTGGAAAAGTTTCAAGAAATGAGTCTGAGATGATTCACTTTATAACATGCCGCATTATCCTGTTGGAAGTAGCCATGAGAAGATTGGTACACTGTGGTCATAAGGTCCGGCCAGGTCAAGATCCGCAATTGCAATTGCAATCGCACCAAACAGGAAAAAGAACATCGACAAATTCCGGTTCGTCAAATTAAAATATAGCAGCAACAGATCGGTGACTAGAAATTATAGCACAATTCTTATATATAAAAAAAAAAAAACTAACACCGTTTATTTAAATGATTGGATCCAAACTATTGGTTATTCACCAACGAGGAAGCAGATTTCTCATCTCCATCAAAATATTTATTTTATACCGAGGGACTTAAACTTTAATCAAATCCATTCAAAAGAAACTTCTTATTACAGGAATGAAAAGAGATGATGAGTTTGGAAGTAGTGAACAAGTTCATTAAAAAAAAGCAGTTTTGAATTATCCTTATCCCCGTTACAAAAATCTACAAAAATATATATATATATTTGGGCAGAAACTGAACATATGCTGGATGATGGTGGGATTTTTTTAATATGTCATATTAAATTGAGCGCTCACAGGGTTCATACAGGAATGAGTGACTCTAATTTAATGCTATTTTAATGCTATTTGAAATGATTTTAATGCCATCAACAAGAACCATGTACACAAGTTATTAGTGTACATGAAATATGAAGGAGCTGTAGGCATAGTTCCATGACTCCTGTATGTATGTAAACACACACACACACATATATACGTATATATATATCCTCTAGCTTTTTCTCCGCCTGGAGCGATATACTATATCTGACGAAATTGTTTTTATAAGCATTTTTTATTAAAGAATTATAAATACTTCGATAAACATATTTAAATAATTTTAGTGCCAATTAAGGCCTTGATTTAAAAAAAAAAGAATGATTTTTTAATTATTTTTATTGATCCGCGGAAACCCTGGTTCATCTCGCGCATGCTCTTTACGATCTCCAAGAAACTCAGAGCGGAGGGGTGTGCAGCCACAGTGGAGGATGTATGCTTTGCTTTGTGCAGGCGGTCTGGAGCGGAGTATGGGGGATTTCGGGGTAAAACTCCTCTTGGACGCGATGGCGACTCTGCATCGAACAAGACGAACTCAAAGAAGAGATACTAGCGGTAAATATATGTTCGATTACTGCCTGCTAGGCTAAAAGCAGCCTAGCCTAAGCTACGGCTAAAAGTAGCCTAGCCTAATAGTAGCCTTGCAAGAACAAGCTTTATTAAAGTGTATTTTTTGTGATTCACAGGAAGCAGTACGCTGTCTTCACAACTCGGAGACTAATTGCAGGCGCTATGATCCGGAGCAAGGGTAAGATTTAAAGAATATGCTTTCATTCTGCGGTAAAAGGCAATGGATACGGATGGATACCGATCAAAGCTGTACATTTTGTTTTCACAGACCTCCTATTTGCTCAGAGCCATATCAGCAAGTCCAGATTTGCACGATGTTGATAAAGACGACATTGTGTGTAAGTGACTTGTTTTAATGTTTTCTCCTTCCTTGTTACTGTGACTTGCGTTTGATTTTTTATTCATACCACTCTCATTTAATTGTTTTCCAGCTGCCTGTAAGACGTATTTTCAGACGGTACGCAGGAGCTTCAGATATACGCTGCCAGCCAACACGTTGCGTGCGGAGGCTATCTGCTCGGAGTCGGGCCAGAAGAAAGAGGGTAAGACTTTATTTGGTGACTATTTTTCAGGTGCATTAATAGATGTGTTGTGTCCATACGCAGTGCGCTGATTCATTGTTTTTTTTTTTCAGCTGCTGAAAGCGAGGCAGAGTGTGCTAGCAGATGAGGAAGTGGAACTCTGGAAGTCCGCCACCTTCGGCCTCATGTCCGACGAAGAAGATGGCGTCGTTGGCGGTGTCTCTGGATGGATTGTACGGTCGCCGCCATTTCGTAGGCCGGATCTCACTGAACTCTGTGTTAAGCTGCAGTCCCGGTTAGAAGCGATGCCAAAGTACAGAGCCACGCACAGTAGGCGTCTGCACATCGGACCTGCCTCGGAGAGAATGCTGCCAGTTACCTCCAACCCCGAGGAAGCAAACGGACCGTTCACGGACTTGTAATTTTTAGATACCCATGTGTTTGGATACGCGTTGTATATAGTTGTGTGTGTTTTAATAAAGCTCTTTCTTTGCATAAACAGCTTCCTGGCAAATGTTCATTTCCTGTATAAATTCATTCATGTCCTTGATGGTAGCCTAATAATTGTGTAGTAGTGTAGGATAACATAAATACACAGCATATGAATGAATAAATATATGAATGAATAAATATATGAATGAATAAATATATATATATATATATAAATTTATATGTAAATATATATATATGCCAACCAATCACGAGCGACTTTACTTGTTTAAAAAGAAGTGGTTCCGTCCAATACTCAGTAAGAAAATTAAAGCCTGGCGTGGCCACGTTTGGTTTTGCTGCCAATCACGAGCAATTTCACTTGTTTGAGAATAGTGGTTTCAGCCAATACTGAGTAGGTTATTCAAGCCAGACCTGGCCAGCCCCGCGGGTTTACTGCATTCATATGCTAATTAGGGCCATTAGTACAGCTGATCGCTCTCCACATACGTCAGAGTCCGTTTCCGACAATTTGTGGCACGACAAACGCGGACAAGCACGGGTTGCAAATTGTCGGAAACTGACGAAACTCAGGCAGATCTGCGGGAGTTTACGGGGGTTTACGGGGACGAAAATCTCACTTTTCATGCAGTGTATTTTCCTTTCCCAAACAATGGGTAACAGACTCTGTGGTGTGCAGAACCCAACCTTTACAAGACTCAACAATTATATCATCACACACCTGTTCCATTGCACGTGGTAAATTCACCATAGTATAGGGCTGTCAGTCATAGACATTTCACTACCATATAGATAATAACCCCTCTATTGGGTTCAGGGAGGGGCTCCAAGGTCGAAGAAAAACCATTGATGAAGTATTGATTGTTGGTGAAGCACTCATGTATCAGGGCAGCATGGTGAAAATTAATATTGTCCTAAACTATGACATGCACAGGATGCCCTGATTGTTGATCCCGAAGTTCACATGCAATCATAAAATCCAGAAGACCTCCAAGAAAGGTCAGAAGATGGTTTGTTTTATATGGCCCCAAGTTTGCATGCAGGTGGAGAAACCCCAGGTTACCTATGGCTACACAAAGAGGGACATGTTCACCACGCTGGCCAGGAACTTCCAAAGATTCCAAAAAGAAAAGAAAAAGGAGTAACGTACTGTAAGTGACACAAGGGCCCACGTTTGTAAAACATTTACATACTATACAAAATAGTTTACTGTACTGTAACACAACAGTTGCACCAATCAATTAGAGTAATGGTTGGTCTATAAGACGAGGAAGCAGGATGGTTGTCATTGCCAGTTCATTTAACATAAAGCTTTAAGCTGAACATGCATCACTACTTTTATTTTATACGTAATATAGCACTAAGGTCTTGAAGGAATGTTCATTTCAACATATGATCCTCTTCAACTTCAAATATAATGTGTATTTCTTCATGCTGCTCTCTTATAAAGTCCAGATTTGAAGAGAGCATTACTAACAGTAATCTTGTTTTCTTTTTAGCAGCTCCTCCAGAGTTGCCTGCTGGACATT